GGCAAAAAAGTTAGAGCCGGCCCTGTCCCCACCTCACTCTCCCCCCATCCCGGCCGTATCCCGCAGACTTTGCTCTCCCTTGACTCCCACTCTCCATCACTGCCACAGCCAGCCGAGACCTGCCAACCTCCCCACTCCACTCCACTCCACTCCTCCCTTCTTCCGTCTAATCCGGGGAGGCATTGAGAGAGTGCCCCTCCCTGTCCCTATAACTCTACCCAGCCTGCCCTCCCTGCACCCGGGTGCGCGCAGGACTTGCTCACTTCTCTGTCTTCCAGGCCTCTCTCTGCCTCTCCACTGACCCAGGCAGCAGGAGCCATCACCGCATACTCTCTTGTCCCTCTTCTCCTGCCCCCTGCTCTTTCAGCCCAGTGGGAGGCATTTGTGGGGCACTGGGCTCCCAGATTCCCTCTAGGCCCATTCCTTAGGCAACTGTCCCAGAGGAGGCCCCGTCCCCACAACAAAGAGCCACATAGCCTGGGGGCTTTGCGAGCACAGGGCATGGGGGAAACAGGGGGCTATTCACACCCACCCAAAGGGGCAGGTTTTCAGTCTGGTGCATGGGAAAATGGAGGCAGACATCAAGGAAAGGGAGGGCCCTTCGGACTGACGAGAGGGGGCTTTCTTCAAAGCAAGGAGCCTGTCTGCCACCACGGGAGTGACAGGCCAGGGGAAAAGAGGTAAGAGCCAGGTCCTACCACACACTGCTGCAGCGCCGCGCTCAGCTGGGCAGCCTCCTTCACACTGGAGATATTGAGGGAGGCCAGGGCTGCGGTGACGTTGCTGCGGATGGAGATCCGGTCCCTCAGCTCCCCCTCATTGCCCCGACTGCCCGAGTTCTGGAGCACACACACACACACACAGGAGCGCTTGTGAAAGAGGCACTTCTGCTGGGAGAGGGGGTGGGCATGTGCATGCACATTCACGCGCGTGTGTTTGTACGCACGTGTGAAGGTCAAGTGCGTAGGTGTGTGTACGCACGTGTCAGGGAAGAAGGGGCGACCGCAGCTGAGCCCTTACCTGATTCAGCACCGTGATGAGGGCCAGGGAGTATGGGATCACCTCCTGGGGGTTGCCCTGCTGGACCACACCCCACAGTTCTGATTGGCTCTTGTTCTTCAGCCAGCTGGTGACAGTCGGGAAGCCCGCCGGGAGCACCGGCATGGCAAGAGTCAGGGTCCTGGAAGGAAGGAAGGAAATAAAGTTATCCCAGCCAGTTCTAACGGCTTCAATCCTCCCAGCAGCCGGGGACAGTGGGAGCTTTGGACCTGCCAGTGGAGCCATGTTCGAATTCGAAGCATAGTCCAAGACACCATTGGTTGCCCCTCTGATCTTTCAGCTTCCAGGACGCACGTGTGTGCCGAACACCGGCCAGGCTCATCTCCTCGTGCACGCCCATCCTGGATCCGCCCATGCTCACCGATTCAGGGCCAGGGTCTTCGCCCCCTGCGAGTCCTCCAGCTCAACCAGGACGTTGACAGTGGTGCGGCTGCCGCCCGTGGCCGCAGGGAGGAAGGTGCTGAAGGAAGATTTGATCCCTCGGTAGAGGCAGAAGTGCTGGCAGTGCCTGCCGCCGGGGGAACACCGTTCAGCAACCAGGGTGTAAATCAGCTGCACTGGGCTGCTGTCTTCATCCACCCAGCCTGAGAGAGCAGGGAAGGGAGACATGGATGGAGGGAGAGCGAGTGTGACTTAGGTGGGAGTCCAGAACACGGGCACCCACCCACTCACTGCCTCTTGGGCTCCTTCAGGCCATGGTTGCATGCGTGACTTGCCAAATCACCCAGCCCACAGCCCAACTGATTCCTCCTTCCTCTCTTGGCAGGTCTCTCAGCCTCAGGCCTCCCTGGTGTTCCCAGTGCCGTGTCTGGCCCTGCAGCTATTGCTAACATATGTTGCAATACGGAGCACGTCAAAATCACCTGGCTTAAACGGGTGCGGGCAGAAGGCTGGCAGCCAGCCCCAGAGACTCTGTCACCTCCCAAGGTCCTGAGAGTCTATCGTTGCCCTTGTAAACCAGACTATCTATTATTGTATGCACAGAACCCAGATCCACACCTTGCCATCATCACATAGTTAGCCAGGCCAGGTGCATCGTCAGCATGTCCATTTACTCCCACCTCGGGGGCCTTTGTACCGGGGAGGGGGGACGGGGATTGAATATCCCTCTCACCCTCCCATGTACATTGCAGTGGGCTGGGAGCTTCTCCCTTTTCGATGGCCCTGTGTACTCTTTGGTGCCCAAATGACAAACTTCTGCCATGTGCGTGTGTGGGGCACAGTTGCCCAGAGGATGCCCTGGCAGAGTTACCTGTGCACTGGTATGAGACCAGAGTCTCCAGGAGGTAGAGGTTGTGTTCGGGTGTCAGGGTGCAGACCCCTCCCCTGGGCGGGTTGTTGGGGGTCAGAGTGATGCTGGATCCCCCCTGCAGCTCCCCTCCGGGCTGGGAGGCTGACAGCGTGAAAGAGTAATTCACCCCGTCCCGCAGGACCCCTTGTCTGATCACCAGGTCCCGGTTCGAGTCCCCCGTGGAGGTGGTCACATGGTCCAGGGTCAAATTTTGTCCGTCTGAACTCTGAGCCGTCCACTTGTACTGCAAGGGTCAAAGAGAGGGACCTGGTGAGAGAGCAGCCCAAGAGGGGTGCCTAGAGAATCAGGCTGGCCCTTCTGTAGTGCCCATCATCCGAGCCTTTCACAGAGCTGACAAATCCCAATGCATGGAGTCTCACAGCACCCCACTGGCACAGGTAAGCAACATCATCCCTAAAATTATAGATGGGGAAACTGAGGCACAGAGAGGTTAAATGACTTGACCAAGGTCACCCAGAGAGTCAGGACTAGAACCCAGCAGTCCTGCCTTCCAGTCTCCTGCTCTAGTCACTCAACCCATTCCTTCTTCTGTAAGATTTACCCTCTCTGAGTCATCTCCCGGCACCCCTTCCCCAGTAACACCCCCTTTCCTCATGGGCTGGGGCCCATAGAATACTGCAAATCAGAGTCCACGTTCCCTCAAGCTCCACAGATCAGCTGAGGTCCCACCCTCAGGATCCCAGCTGGCTATTCCGGTCAGTGCAGGGTCACTCGTAAGTGTAAGCTCAAAGCAGCACTGTGAGGCTGTGGGGATGAGTGGGGGTGGCAGGAAAGCAGTGTTTGGAGAGCGGGGATCTCTCCACTGGGATACGCGTTAAAGTCAAACCACCAAACCTCCTCCCAAGCAGCAGGAGCTGGGTGTGTGAGCAAAATACAAGTGGCTCCGTACTGGACTTTTCATGCACCAGCAAAGCAAGTCTCACCATGGTCCTGTTGTCACAGCTCTGGCACTGTCCGGCCAGAGTGACGTGGACACTCCTGCTGATTTCATAACTCGACAGGGCACTGCAAGAACGGCACTCGATGGTCACGGGCAGGATCTGGCCGGGCTCGATCCAAACCTGCAGGCGGACGGCAGGATCAGATTCAAACCACACAGGAAAACAGCCCTCCCCTGACGTACACCCCTGTGGAAATGGAGCAGTCCCAATGCAATAGAGGGGACAAGCCCCTGGCACACAGGGAGTGAGCCCTTGGTGACAGGTGAGAGTGCCTGGCACCCAAAGGAGACACAAGGCCCACGCACTGGGGCTGGGGTCAGGCACCAGGGCGGCAGCACAACCACACAGATCCTGGCTGGTATCTGGCCGGCACTGAAGGCACATGGACCAATCCACGCACTTCCAAGCTATAACCCCATTCCTTGTGCTACCCCAAGGCTTAGCGAGGGGTCATGGCCCACACGTTCCTGCTGAGAAGGCAGCAACTGCCTCCTTGTCTGGGCTGGCTCTGTGCCCAGTGAGACTGAGGGTCTGGTCCCTCAGCCTCCTTCCCCAGACTGACCCCTCTCTTGGGGCTCCCCACCCCACTCAAAGCTCACCATCTGGGCCACGGAGACTGGTTCCTTCCCCGGCTTCTTCACCGTGAGAATGAAGCGATAGCCAGTGCCTCTGCAGAGCGCAGTGCGGGGAACGGTGATGCTGGCACCGCCCTGCAGGCGAGGTGGGGCACACCGGGGCGAGGACACATTCTGAGCAGGAGACACACAGAGAGCTCTGGTTAACTCACCCCTGGGCTATCTGTCCCTGTCCCACGCCTGAGCGGGAGGACGGACCCTGGACAGCAGGCTGCAGATTGAGTGATCAGTGGGGGCAGGCATGGGACCGAGGTGGGGGGGTCTGGAATTACACAGCATCCTCCAAAGACGGCATCTGCCCTCTCCTAGACTCTGATCCAACCCCCTCTGCCCCAGGGCACGCAGAGCCCCAGCCCCTCCCACAGGCGAGCCGGGGTGAGTGCGGACAGGCACTCCTGCTGGGTTCCCTTTGTTACCTCACAGCCCCAGTGATATTCCAGGGAGGGGTCTGCGTCCGTCCCCACGTCGGGGTCGTACGACCCACTGCCATCCAGAACCAGGTCCAGTTGGGCAGACCAGCTCCTCCACGACCCGCCTCGGATGACGGGAACCAACTTGCTGGGGATGACGGTGATGAGCAGGGAAAGCGTCCGGGCCAGAGGGGTGTGCTGGAGAGAGGCAGTGAAGCGCAGGCAGTGGGTGCCGATGTCCAGTGAGAGCTTGGGGAGCGTGAGTGACGGGGTGAGCAGGTCCGCGTGCTGCAGGGGTACCTGGTCGGCCTCAGCCAGCTGCTCGCAGCTGGGGCTGCTGAACACCTCCCAGAGATACAGGGCCTTGTAGGCCGTGCAGCCCTTCAGGTCTATGCTGGCCTCAAAGTAGCTGGTGCGGGATCTGGGGACAGAGGAGGGCGGCTCCACCAGTCTCACCATGGGGCTGTCACACCCCAGCTCCCGCACGGTGACCGTCGTCTGCACCAGGACAAAGCTGACCTCATTGTAGATCTTCACCTCCACTAAGAAATCCCCAGCACGGCCATAACGGTGAAACATCCTCTCGTCCCCGCCGCCGGCAAACGTCTCCTCTGAATCCCCGAACTTCCACTCGGAGCGGAGATCGCTGCCACCCATGACCGCCACGTCAAATGCCACCGTCTGATTGAGGAAAGCCCCAGTCCCATTGCTGGACAGGGTGGCTCCCTCTATGGGCACCTGCAGGGCCACGGTCACCGTCAGAGACGCGGCACAGAACGGGTTACTGGCCTCTACGTGAATGGTCAGGTTACCTGCTCCGGGTGGCACGTACCCAACCTGCTGGCCTGCTGCTTCATAGGCAGGGTGCCCAGGGAGGTGAAAGATCCAGAAGAAGGTGACATTCTCCCCGGCTCGCACCTGGGCCGTGAGTGTGAGCTCCTTGTTGGACTCTACGATGGCCGGGCAGCAATTGGAGATGTGCAGCCCCCGAACCTTCTCCAGCACCTGCACCACAACGGAGGCTAGCTGCATGCTGACGTTGTTGGAGGCCGACGCCAGCACCCGATGAGAACCCGCCGCCGGGAAAGAGAAGTGATGCGTTCCTCCGCAGACATCCAGGCTGAGCCCCAAAGAGGGGATGGTGAGAGCAAAGCTCACATTCGTGCCCCTCTGGGTGTGCAGAGTGAAGACTACCCTGTCGTCGGTGCACACGTCCTGCCTGTCCACTTCCACTGCCAGCCCAGCCACGGGGTCTTGGACGGCCACGGGATGCTGGACTGTGTCCTCGCTGACATCGTTCCAGGCTCGGAGGTCCACCTGGTAGACTCCAGCCGCACTGAATTCGCAGGAGACGTTCTGTCCATGGAAGAGCTGCTGCTTCTCCTTCCCCCGCAGCTGCCACTCCCATGCGACATCAGAGCCTGCAGCCACCGAGCCCCAGAGCTGCCTAGAGGTGTCTGACATCAAGAAGAAGGGGGGAGAGCTTCCTTCCACCGTGAAGCTCACCCTGGAAACGGGCTCCTGGACTCTCAGCTCTGTGGAGCCGTTGCTAGAACCGAGAACGTTGGAGACGGTGACGAACACCAGCTTGGAGCCCAGGGTGGAGTAAGCGTAGGACAGAGAAGAGGAGTTGGTGAGCATGGGCTGGGCATGTTCCTCGATGTGCCAGGAATAGAGCAAATCAGTCCCAGAGGCCACAGAGACAGACAGGTTCACTGGCTTTCCCACAGCCACGCTGTCGCTGGCTGCCCGGACCTTCACACCGCAGGCTCTCTCCACCACCTGCAGGGCAAGGCCAGCAGACGTCTCTCCCAGCACGTTCCCAGCTCTCACCTCCACCAGCAGCTCCCCACTCGCATTGTAACAGTACGTGAGCGACTGTCCTGTTGCGGTGAACACCCGGCGCAGCCCTAGAGAAATCACCCAGCGGAAGGTGAGGTTGGAGCCCTGGGTAACCTCGGCGGTCAGCATAAAGGGCTCGGCAGATGCCAGGTACCTGCCCTGCACCACGTTCCCGCTGTGGATCTGAACCCCCTGGGCTCGCTCCTGGACCTCAATAGTGATGTTCGCCTTCTCCATGCTCACTGCATTCTCAGCTGCGACAAAAACCACGAAGACGCCGGCGGCAGGGAAGGCATGGGAGAAAGTGGTGGCCCCCTTCTGAAAGCCACGTGGCTCTCCAATAGCCCAGAGGTAGCGCACCTGGTCTCCTGCCGCCAGAGAGGCGTGGAAGGTGACCTCCTGCCTGACTTCACAGACTGGCCGCTCAGTGCTCAGAGCCAGCAGCCGCACTGGGGCCAGGACCGTAATGTCAAGCGAGGCGTTTCTACGGCTGACCTGGTTTTCTCCGGTCACGGTGACGGTGATGTCTCCGGCTGTGTAGTAGGTGTGGGAGGTGCTCTGACCTACCCGCGGGGGAGAATGGTCTCCAAAGTTCCACAGGAAGGTGGCCACACTGTCCCAGGGGACCTCAGCCGTAAAGAGGTAGGAGGTGCCCAGTGCCAGAAAGCTCTCTGTTTTACCGCTGTGGAGAATGGAGATGGTGCCAATCACCCTCTGAGCCAGGATATCTGCTGAGGCATTTTGCCGGCTCACCATGTTCCACACAGTGACCGTCACCCGGTACGATCCTCCTTCCAGGTAGGTGAATGTGATTTCTGGAGACCCTGAGGTCACTGGGTCCTCACCAACACCAAAATCCCAGTGGTACTGATATTGGTGCTGGGGGTCCGGCACTGGAACCACTTCAGCCTGGAAGCACGTGGGTTCCCCTAAAGCTAAAACCAGCGTCGGTGCCGTCAGCTTAACCGAGCGGATCCGATCCTCTACGCAGATGGCCAGTTGGCGAGAGGTGGTGCTTACTGTGCCACGTACAGTCAGGTTCAGCTTGTAGCTCCCCGCCGCTGGGTAGCTGTGAAAGACCGTGGGGTCCCCGTCCCCAACAGAAGGGGGGTTGCCATCTTGGAAATCCCAGCAGAACTGAACTCCTTTGCTCGGCCCCGTTACTACTGCTTGGAAGGGAGTCTGTTCCCCACTGGAGAGACAGATGGGTGCTAGGATGTTGGTGATCTGAAGCCGGTAAACCTCTGCAATGGTGGAGACACGGGTAGAGGCGGCAGCATTGTGAGCCATCACCGTCACCGTGTAGTTGCCTTCTTTGGTGAAGGTGTGAGAGACGAAGCTTAGATTCAGGTTGCTGTAAACGAACCCGTCCCCCATGTTAAAAGTCCACAGGACATCTGTGCCAGAGGCCAACATGGCGTTGACAACTGTGGCTGAACCCAGCTCAGTAGGTCCGCTGGCCACCACGCGGAGACCCGTGACACCTTCACTGACCATCACAGCTATGTCAGACGGCACCTCACTGAAGCTGTTGTTGGCCCGCAGCATCACGTTGTAAACCCCGCTCTTCTCAAAGCAGTGGTGCACCAGCGAATTCACTCCCTCCTGCGTGGGAGAGCCATCACTGAAGTTCCAGGAGTAAACAACGCCGTAGGGGGAAGGGCGGGGTAACGCCTTGAACTTGGTCACCTCGTTCACCAGCGGGGAGGTTGGAGTCACCAGAATGGTCACGGAAGCTATGGGGCAGACTGCACGGACTTTGGCCACCCGCTCCACTCGATCGTATTTGTTGACGGCCTCTGCGGTCACTGAGTAGTCGCCTGTGGAAGCAGAGAAGAAAGGCATTGTGGGAAGGAACCGGGGTTTCTAGGACTCTTGTACCTAGAGAGACAATGTGTCATTCCCATTGTGCTCAGGCTGTTCCTCTGTACAAATTTGAACAATAATTGTGACAGTGTCTCTCTCCCATCGTCCTTCTGTCTTCCTCTCCCATTCTCTCTCCCTCTCCAACACATGGACTAAGAGCCCTTCTGAGCCCAGGTGATCCCTCACCATCAGCCCCTTTCTTACCTGGTTGAGTGTACGTGTGGGTCACTCTGGCCAGCACCTGGACCCTCTCTCCCTGTGGATCTGGACGTGACAGCTGAGAATCGTAGGGGGGAGACAGCAGGCTCTCCACATCCGGGCTGCCATCCCCAAAGCCCCACCTGCAAAGAGAAACAGCTCCACCTCACAGACAGGGGCCTGGTTCAGAGACTGGGCAGTTGTGTGAATATCATGAATACCCAGCATTAGAACAACAAATGCAAATATACATTTTGGAAGGGACATTAAAGCTCACGTTTCAAGGCTAAAGCCAGTCTCTAACTATGAAGGATCAGAAAGAAATCCAACACTGGGGGAGGAAACAGATTATCTCACAGCTGCTACAGTGGGTTTGGGTTTTCTGCACCTTTCTCTGAAGACTGGGCGATACGGACCTCGCATTTGATCCAACTTGGCAATTCCTATGTCCCACTATCAGAGCATCTTTTCCAGCTCAGTCTCTGCCTCGTTTGTGGCGTGTGCTTTGCGGAAAGCGGAGCGCTCTCTACGCAACATTTTGGCATTTACTGACCTAGCTGGCCAAGGCCCTCCAACGCCACATCACTTGCAAACATTTCTCACCGGAGCCTCTGGTAACTTAAGCCCCTTGGGGGTGGATTTCAAACCCAGCCAAGTTTTACAATTCTATTTTCACCCCTTGGATAATCTCCACACGTCCCACTTTGGTTCCTCCTTCCTGATGGGAGATGCCAGTTCCAACCTGCCACCTCTTAGAATACCCCTTTACAACCATCACCCAGCTGCGGGGGAGAAAGGACTCCCATCAGATATCACACATAAAGAGGCACTGGTACAGGATGTCACCAGATGATACAAAGAGTGCTGCCCAGGAAGGCTGGTCTCTCTAGGAAGTTCCTTGGTGATTCGCTCTGGGATCAAACCACATTAAATAGACCTCATTAGTCTGTGGGAGGAATTCTCCCTTCTTGGACTCCATGGGACTCTCACCTCACAATGACTTCCATGGCAGTGTCCACTTCCACCCTGAACACCAGAGTCTGGAGGGTGTCAACTGCCACCACCCCAGGGAGCCCCACTATCTCGGGGTTGGCTAGTGGATTCATAGCCTCGGGTGTCAGCGCCACTTCCACCACCTCCGAACTCACAGGGTTCTCAGCTCTCAGCTGTGCAGAAGGAACAGAAGGGCATCAACCACGCAGAGAAATTTGAACAGGCGGCATTCCCTTCTTCTGACTCCCCATCTACTCCAAACCTCTGCCCCCCCCCCTCCCGCCCACTCCACCAGGACTGTCGATGCCCACCCCCACCCCACAGTACCATGACCACTGATTCGCCTCCCCCCTTCGTTTGTCTCACAGACCCTGGCTGCAACGCATTCCCATGCAACTCGCCCCACCCATGTTACACGCTGCACTGATTCCCAGCACCCAATCCTGCCACCCACATTGGGGACAGAGGTCCAGGGAATGGTAGCGCTACGGTGATGTTCTCATTGGGAGCACAGGGAGGGTGGGGACTGGAGCCAGGAACAGACGTTGGCCTGACAGTCAGGAAAATGCAACACATGGAGATGTCCAATGGCGGCTAGTCACTGCCCAGACAGCAGCCTCTGGCAACTCAGCTGCGGCAGAGTGGAGCATACGACTCCCATCAGGAGTTACGGCTCCGTGGGGGAAAAGCAACTGGGGCAATTGGGTACAGTACAGAGTCCCGAGTCAAGCTGCTACTATTTGACGGTGGCTGTTCCGTGCTTCTGCCTGATGTGTATGGAGTCCTGCCAGGCCTTCGGCTGAACGGGCAGGTTTCTACACCCTTATGTTTTGATTTTAATAATAAATAATCATAATAATTTGCATATTTGTCTGTCATTCCTCCCAAAAGTACCCATCTGGGGGTGGGGAGTAATCTGGTGCTCCTGACTGAAGGGTCTCCTAGCACTTTATAAATATTTAACCCCTTCCAAACCGGCCTGTGAGGTGGATATGAATTACCACCTCCCTTTTACAGGTGGAGAACCTAAAGCACAGCGTGTAGGTGACTTATTGAAGGTCACGCAGCGAAGCAGTGGCAGAGCTAGGAAAGGCACCGGGAGCCCTGACTCCCCAGTCCCTTGCTCTGACTCCTAGACACTCGTCCCTTGCTTTATGATCTGTGCCACAGCTGAAGGAACCTATGGTTGGTTCTCACGCTTGCTCACCTTCAGCTGGTATGTGGCAGGCCTCTTGAACTTGACGCTGTAGGTCTGTCCGTTGTAGGCGAACATGTCCATGTTGTCGATGACCCAGCTGTAGGAGGCAGAGGAGCCCTGGGTGAGCTCTGCAGAGAACACCTGCCAAGCAAAAGAATCAGCGGTTTACAGCAGACCTATGGGCTGGGCTCAGATTGCTTCCTCCCGGTTGTGTTGAGTAGGGCTAAGGGGTGGAAAGTTCCAATAGGCCTAAAGCAAAGAGATGGAAGACTTCACCCACATGGAACATCAGCATTCGCCTGCTCCCCAGCAGCCATGCAATGGATGTAACACCACACAGCCGGCTCACTGATAGTGGCGCAGGGAGGTGAGAGACACAATGCCCCATGCTAGCCTGGCTTTTGGGGGCCCCAGTGCATCCTGAGGGAGGGTAGGACAGGCTCCGGGGCTACCCTTGGAAGTTTCTGCTGGATGAGGGCACATTCATCTTGCAGCTGCGTGACCACAGGTTTGGTGTTATAGTAAAACCATCAGGCAGCCCATATGCCAGCATCCAATAGGGTGACGGAGTGGCATGAGGGCCCGAGATGTTGGAGGGACGCCCTTGATGATTACCCAGACGTGATAACTGCAGCAAGATGACCTACCTGAGACACATCCACTAGCATCCTGCGGGGGCCAGGCGGCACCACCCGGAGCCCCTCGATGGCATTATACGACTGGATCTTCACCGACAGCTTCTGGGTGCTGATCTCATTGGACACCAGCACATTCAGTGTCTCCATTCTCGGCTCCTCCATGCGAAGCAGGGCAGAGGAGAACCAGGTATCTGCAGTGTCTCTGTGGCAGGCGGGGACATGTGTTACAATGCTGCCCGGGCAGGTGGCCTCAAATAACACCCCAGGCTTACCCACGGGTGCCATCCAGTGAGCCATGGCATTACAGCCGGAGAGAATCTTGATGACAATCAGAGTCTCTCTCTTGGTGGCCACGTTGAGCTTCCCGCTGACCGGCATCGGGTGGATAATCTGCAGCCCACCGACCTTGGTCTGCACCTCCACTGTGCAGTTCATCTTCCTGCTACTGACTGCATTCCTCACCGTTGCCGTGTAGGTGTACGCCCCGCGTTCCGAATGCCTGGCCAGCGGCGGCGTGGCAGCAAAGCTCCGGGGCTTGCCCACAAAGGTCACTCGGAGGTCACAGACGACATGGTCCACCCAGGTGGGGTTGGTAAAGCTGCTGATGCTTCCCTCCCACCAGCCAGCCTTCACGAGGCTGATATAGCTCTGCCGCCAGGGGGAATGGGACTGCTGCAGGCACCGGAGGAGGGAGCTCACCTCTGCGTTATGCTGCATTCCGATAATGTCATCCGGATACACACTGATCTCCTCTCTAGGCAGGAGAACCTGAAACACATAGAAAGAGTCGTCTCCCATTGCAACCACAGCCTCTGCTGTAGCCAGAACCCCGGTCCGTGCCTCGTCTCCATGAAACATCCTGCCTCCCCACACAGTACCGGTGGAGAAGATAGCACAAAGAAAAGGAGGAATTAGGGGAGGGCAGGAAAGGAGAAGCCTGGGGAAGGGGATGAAGGAGAGTCACAGGGCTGCCCAAAATTCCTGGGACACTCCTTCATTTTCCTGGGTCCATCCCAGAGTTCATTTCAGGCATCGCAACGCACAAGTGTGAGCGTTGTCTCTTCACGCCACCATGTGGTGTCGACTCAGAATGACGGTGCGTCTCAGCATGATGATGTGGCCCGAATTACACATCGCCACAAAGCCCTGTAACAAAGACTTATAATGGTGTCACAAGGGGATTTACACACACACACACAAGGAGATGACCAGGCAGTACAAACTGGGAGAGAGAAGATGCAGCAGAATAACGTCCTGAGAACACTTACCTGGACATGCCTGTTTGCGCTGCTGGGAGCTAGTAGCAGGGGGAAGTCAGCCACGGGCGAGTAGAAGGGAGGGGTCCCGCTGTAACGTGGTGGGTTTCGGATGGGTAGGATGCTGGAAGTCACATTCTCAAAGGCATAAGAGCTGCAAGGACTGGAGATGTTCAAGCAGCCTTCACTCAGTGGGCACCACTGCTGCCCGCTGGGGCACCAACCCGTGGTGTTGCAGAGCGGCCGGGGGTGACAGCAGGCGAATGGCGTGTGAAGAAGCTCACAGCCTGGGAAGAAGCGCACATGCTGCAAGATATGCTGGACTTGGAGAGCTCAAAGAGGGCACAAACTGGGTTATGGTTAGTAACCAGCATGTGTTCCCCTAGACACGCCTTCCAACAAATCATTTATAGTGTAGGGACATTTCCAAGCCATGCAACTAAATTAGCAGGGCCAAGCAAGCAAGGAGAGAAAGGGACCAGGCCATGTTCTGGAACCAGATCTGGAGCCACATCTGGATTTCGAACACCCCAAAGTTTGATCTGGACAAGCCAGACTGAGCGAGAGTTTCCTAAACTGGAAGGCAGCATGGTCTGGTGGACAGGGCACTGGACCGGGAGTTAGTTCTTTCCTGGCTGTGCCACTGACTGACTATATGGCCTCTGGCAAGTCACCACCTGTCTCTGCCTTGTTTTCTCCCATCGGTATCAAAGGGATAACAACGCCAGCCCACTGCCGCACAGCACTTTGCTGTCTGTGGATTCAGGAAAGTACTACACCAGTTCAGACTGAGCTCCACCCAAGCCCAAAGTGACAACACTCCCGGCCAATGGGACACCAGATAAAAGCACAACATCCTACTCAGGACATCCTCACTGAGGGAGTATAACCTAATGGCAGGACACTGTTGATCGTTTCCCAGCAACCTCTGGGAGATCATTAACCCTCTTGTGGGTGTCAGATACAACCATGTCAGCAATCAGAGCACTGGGAACCCTGGTTTTGTCTCGTTTCAAAAGCATTCGAACCTTGTGGGTTCCAAAGGCTGGCACCAACTTGAATGGTAGGCCAGGTCAACACTAGAAATGTTTGCAGGTGTAGCAACATTGGTTAGGGAGCGATTTGTGCATCCCGTTTCTTTACTGACAAAAGCCATAGCGTAGATGCAGTTATATCAGCACAAAAATGCTTTGGCTGGTGGAGCTTATTTTGCTCACCAAACTGGTATCAGCTATTCCATCAAAAGCACATTTTTGCCAATACAAGCAGTGTCTCCATTTGGAGGGTTGCTGGCAGAGCCCACTAACAAACCTTTTCTAACATAGATCTGGCCTTACTGAGCTCACAATGCACTTAGGAGATACAGTGGGGCGGACGGGGCAGAGAAGGAGAAAGAGAGGGGAAAAGGAGGAGGTTGAAACACAACTACAGAGAATGGAAAAGGAGTAGAAAGGGGAACAGACCAATGAATCAATAAATGTGGCCCACGCAGTGATTACAGGGCACTAGAGCAGGAAACGATCTTCCTGTCACATGAACATTTTCAAGATATAGGTCCAAACTGGAAGTTTCGAAAACTTCCATGAACTGAAAATCCATTACAAAAAATTGAAACATTTTATTCTGAAAATTTCAAAATGCTTCATTTTGAGTTTGACCTTTTATCTCTTTAAATTGTATCCGCTCAAAAACCCAAAACTTTTGTTTTGAAAAATTTGAAATGGGAAGTTTAGACAATTTCAAAACTTTTTTCCTCCCAATAATTTTTTGAGTTCGGAGATTTGTCAAACTGGATCCAGTTTTAGTTTTGATGAATCTGTATTTTTCAGTGAAAAAACTTCACCGAAAAATTCCCGACCATCTCTACAAGTCACCTAGTTGTGGGAGACTCGCTTATCAGGGTTCTTCTGTCCCTTCCATGCAACCCAGAGGGGCAACGTACACGGATGAGGTCTGGAGGGAAATGTGAGGATGAGCCACCAGTCTATCTTAGCATCCCACCAAGAATCAAACAGAGCCAGAAGCTTTAAGCATAGAGACTATCAAGCAGTTATAACCCCTCCCTGTCCTTTTATAATGTTCACCAACCCATCGGCACAACCCCATTGGTCTAGGCAGGCAGATGGGCTGTAAGTATCAGAGAATAAGAGACAGAGGCATGGATGCTGAACTCTTACCGGGAGGAACCAAGTGCTGGTTGGGGTTGCAATGTGGGCGGAGGATCTGGAACCGGACCAGAACAGGCTTCTTTGTTCCTTGTACCCCGAAGTCTATGGAGACTAGAATACCAGCGTGGCTGAACCAGAGGCCTGGAAAGAGCATCAACTACAAGACACAAGACCAGGAAATAAACATGTGAAGGAGGGAAGTCCAAAGAGGCCTCCTGGAAGGAACTGGCAGGGGAAGTTGGGGGTGAGGTGGTAATGGAGGGACTTGTGCTGTTGTGATGTTCCTGTGTAGTTCAAATAAGCTTCCTGAAGATCAGTGCTTTACTCGAAGTGTGGCCACAGTTATCTGGTTTGGGAATACAGAGCCAGGCTCTCCCTGACGTTTCCTATATCCCGTGGGCCATAAATATTGAGAGCACAGCCTCAGCTGACATGGCGGTGCTCCTGGGTTGATTTGTGTTCTCTTCCCATGGGTTTGCCTTTTCCCAAAGGCTACTCAGCAAGGTATATAGACTAGAGAGGGCAGGGAGAGGAGGTCTCAGACAGACCCCTCCGGCATTCACACACACCAGCCATCTGGCTCTGTTTGCACGCTACCTCAATGCTGTCAGGCCCCAGGAGAGGAGGCAGCGGCTCGGTGCTGACATTCCTCACGTCATAGACTCCGCTGAACACCGGCATGCCCGTCAGGAACACATCTGGGCTGGGCAGGGTGACTGCAAAGACAAAACACATGGACCGTCACCTCCCAGCTTAAAACCCAGTCAGGCCCTGCTGCAGGCTTGCATCACGGATGAAGTGGCAGGCTTGTAGGAGATCCACCTGGCTGCACCGGGGCCTTGACTCAGCAAATCTGTAAGCATGTGCCTTAGCTGAACTGGGGCCTAGATCTGCCAGGGTGGGAACTGGAAGGAAAGGGCATGCGGGGGGAGCAATAGAGCCCATGTGAATGGGCTGAATGGACATAGAAATACCCATGTGTATATTCAGAAACACCCATGCCCCTGGCATACACCCACCATCAGAGTACACGGGAGTCTGCCAGGGTCTGGGGTAGAGCACCACAGGGCGTCAACTTTCAGGTGCTAACTGCAGAGAGAAAGTGTGGCCTTGTGGTTAAAGGACTGACTTGGCGCTCAGGGTTCTGTTCCCAGCTCCTCCACAGACTCCATGGGCAACCCTTGGGCAAATCACTTAATCTCTCTCTGCCTCAGTTCCCCCTGTGTAGAACAGGGATAACAACACTTCTTTCCTCACACCTTTTGTCTGTCCTGTAAGCTCTCTGGGGCAGGGGCTGTCTCTTGCTAAGGGTCTGTACAGTACCTAGCGCAATGGGACCCCAATCTCCATTGGGACCCTTAGGCATGATCGTAACATAAATACATATTAATGACAGGGCCCTCCTCACCGGGAGTTGGGAGGCACTCAGCTTCTCCTAGCATGGGACCATGGTTTGGCCAGAGCATTGGGGTCCCCCAGGATGAAAGAGCAGTATAAAGCAATGGGTTATTATATCAGCCCCCCCTTAGCACTCGGCTCCTCCAGGGGCTGCAAGGAAATGCCTCTTTATTCCTGTTGGCAATGGTCAGTAGTGTAACTTCCCAGTCCAGTCCATAAAGACATTCCCACCCCAGGTGCCAGCAGGACGTATGGTACCTCCAGCTCTCCTCTCGCAGAGGAACGAGGACTTTGCAGAGCACGGGCTACTGCTCCAAACCCCTTCTGTGTCGAGGAGGTGCATCTGGACGCAGCTCTCCTTGCCCTCGGGCTGACCGAAGGGGGTCCAGTTCTGGAACGAGTCCACAAGGCTCCCATCGACCCAGCGCAAGGAACCCAAGGAGCTGAGCCCAATCCAGACCACACCGGCACTGCCAGGGAGAAAGATAGAAAGAACCTCTGCTTAAAGAGAAACAGCATCGGCAATGCAACACAGAATGCAGGGAGCGGCTGGGAAAGGGAGCAGAGCTTGGGGCAGGTGGTGGTGCGGTTAGTGCCTTTGACCCCAGTCAGCAGAGGAAAAGCATCCCCCAAACCAACGCCGAGGAAAAGGTCTGACATGTCAGAATGGGTGGTCATGCTTCGGTCTCCATCAGGGATACCCCAAAAACACAGACCCCCATTTCCTGGAGGCTCCTTTGCACTAGAAATGGCTCCTATTGCAGCCTGCCCTGGTTTGAATGAACTAGTGCCTGCTGTAAAGGCCCGAGCCATCTTGTTTTGGGTGCTCCACATTCACTCGCAGGGCTCCCGGGTCGTTACACCTCGCCCACAATTCCCAGCACAGCTGCCTAGAGGATCCCTGAAGCGTGTGCATAAGGTTTGATTCCCAGGGGTGCTAAGCTCCCTCCCAGGGATTTTAAACGGAGTTGTGGGCGCTCAGAACTTCCAAAAATCCAGCCCGCCCTGTCTAGGGCTCAGAATGGCTATTGCACTTGTTCTGTTGCCTGCTTTGAGTTGATGTATCCTATACCAGGATCCACACGTGCTTTTTAAGGGTGTGAGCTACAAGCTACATCCAGGTATGTCCTCACACAACCACACCTGGACTGCCCGGTGAAAGGCTATTACTGCGGCACACATTGCCTGACTGCCTCTAGGCCTGGTTCACTGTAATGTACCCAACACTGCCTTTGGGCAATGGGGCTAGGGGAGACAAGGAGCTTGCCTGTATTATTGCCATGGTGCTTGAACAACAATAACCTCTGTAGTAGTGACATCGCCATTGTCATCAGAGCAAAGACAATGGGGCTGGAGCATGATACGCACCCAGAGAAAGTCTCCTGCAGGAAGCTCTGCACCTCCTGAGTTCTTACAACTGCCAGATCTCCACCGGGGATCCCCTGGCAGAGCCTTCTCGCATCCTGCCAGGTCTCCTGGGCGTGGCTGAGCCAGTAGCAGTTCAGATTCTGTAAATGGATCCGTCCACCTTGAGGGCAAGAGGATTCATCTGAAGATTAAGAACAACAGCTGAGAAGGGTCCCCGTGCTGCCAGAACTTCCACTGTGAACCCTTCCGGGCTCCACCTGACAAAGCACTCGCGGTGGAAGGCGAGTCACATTCCGGAGAGCCCAGCACTGCCAGCTCCTCCAGCTGACGTAGACCGAGGAGACGAGCCCTGGCACAGCCACACGGACTGAGGAAGGTTACCAGCCGCTTTGGGAATGTGTTCCTGCAGGTCCTTATTCCTCCCCGGAACACTTGGCTGGTGGAGCGTGTCAGGAGGTGGTAACTAACCCAGCACCTCTTGGGTTTCCTTCCCCAGCACTATGACCTAGCACCACGTCGCCATCTCTGGTGTAACATTCGGCAAGGAGAGACCTGCACCATGGCATGAGCCTCTTCCACACCCAACAATGCCCCCTCTGCACAGGCAGCACCAAGGCCTGAAGGAGCGTAGTGAGGATACCCTCCATAGCAGGAGCTCCCTTCCCTTCAACACCCCATTAGCTCTAGTTGTCCCAGTGCTGAGGTAGAAGGATCAAGAAGGGCCAGCGTTGCTAATGCCCTGGCTCCTCCTCTCTGGCAGCACTCCAGAAGCAGATGGAGGCCTGGGATAAAGCTCTTCAGGTGACAAACCTACTCGCCTCATGGAGGAAGCAAAGAAATTGCAAACGGCAGCTCCAGGGGGACTGTTCGATGTGAGACAGGAACCCAGAGCATCACCTTGAGGTGCTGCCATCCAGCTGGCCCTCAGGAGAAAACAGAAGGAACTGGGAGTAAAAGGACCTTGTTCTGTAAGAAGTGACCCTCCCTGGCATAGGAGATGGGAACTTTTGCAGCACATAAAATCCTGGGTTTAGGAGGAAGGAAAACTAAATGATACCGAGTGTTACATCGAGTTAGCATCTTTCATCCTGAAGGATCCTAACGCACTTTACAGATTTCAGATACAGGAATCACTTCAGCCACCACTGAAATGCAGCCACCTCTGGGGTGGAACATGACTGCTGCTTAAAAGCCCACAGGAGTAACTTAGGCAGGAAAGCTAGAATATCCAATGGAAACCGCCTGGGGAAGGTCGTTGCATGAACAGAAAACTAGGCCAAGACACTGGGGCTTTAAATGGCCATCTATGGTCAGTATTAGGGTTGATTACAAAAGAACCCTCAAATGTGGGGGCAGTGGAAGCCGGCGGTAACCCATAGGAGAAATCCTGCATTCAGTGTTTGGAACTAGTGAGCTGCTCTCTCTCTGCCTTTCCCTCCTATTTCTTGCCTGTCTCTGCAATTCCCCCACTTCCTCTGCTTTATAACGCCTTCTGCTGTTAAGGACCCCAGAACTCATCTCCCATTTGCTGATGTCCCGGCCCAGACTCCAGGCTCTGCATTTTTCTTGGCCAAAGCCCAAAGCCTTTTGTTCTCTTGTCCAAAGAGAACGTGTTTAAGCCGGAGAGAGCTGGGACAAGCAGGACTGGGGAGAAAATGGAATTTGATATTTAAAGCGCTGCATCATAAGGGGTAGGAGATGACGAGTTTGTTATTACCCCAGTGTCGGGAACCTAAGCAACGGTTGGCAGGCCTAAGCGCCGGCCTTCTGAGCCCTCACATCCCTCTGATGAGAACACTTACAAGATAATAAGAAAAATCCAATCCAATCAATGAGACCGTCACAGTATCCAGCGTGGTTTCCCGGGAGCCAGTGAGCACCCTGTCTGGCATTCCTGGGTCTCCTGGCAACAACCAAAATGCTCCTTCCACAGGAAGCCAGAAAAATCCATTGCCATGGCAACCCTAAACAAAGTTTGATCTGTTCCAGGCACCCATCAATTCCTCCAGTGAGGGAGAAACCTCTCCTGGCTTCCCCGTAGGGAGACCAGACAGCAAGTGGTGAAAAATCAGGACAGGGGGTGGGGGGTAATAGGAGCCTATATAAGAAAAAGATCCAAAAATCGGGACTGTCCCTATAAAATCAGGACATCTGGTCACCCTTCTCCTCTGTCCTGAGGAGCTGCATCCACAGGCTGTTGGCAGTGCTTTGGCTGGGCCTTTCTGATAGACCAAGATCTCTTGAAAAGTTTGCTACAGTGGGGGGGGGGGGCACTTGGTTTGGATTCCTCCCCCCCACCCCCACCCCAGTGGTGGTTTCTGCTCCCTGTCTCCCACTCCTCCCTGACAAGAGGGGTATGGGATGGAGGGTGACTCAGACGGTTCTGCCTGCACCTATAAGAGTAGGATCAAAAAATCCCCTCCACTGTCTGTCCTCCCAGAAGGCACAGCTCCCTTCTCACCTTCAGGCAAATACGAAATCACACTCCCACCTGCAACACACACATTTCCTCCTCTCACACCCACTTACTGCTCTGCACCTTCACTCATATTGTCCCTTGCATGTGAAATGGTCTCCCTGCTCGACCCAGGAAGCTGCATGGCCCCATCACCGCAGTGCACAAATACCTCATCTACATTCCCAAACTTCTCCCCACAACATCCCTGTGGGAGCCCGAGGCACAGAGAGAGGAAGTGACAGGCCCAAGGTCACACAGGGAATTGGCGGCAAAGCCAGGAACTGAACGCAGGTCTCCTACAGTCCAGTCCACTGCTTTAACCACAAGACTATCCTTTCTCTGGGTCCAGAGCCCCCTCTCTCCTCACTCCAATCCCGCCCCAAAGCCTAGTCCCTCAGGAAACCTTTCGGGGCTGGTCTCCTCAGCATTCAGCTCTCTGCACTCTCCCCTAACTGGACGGTTGCTCTGTGCTTGGTCTGGTCTGTGTTGCCTCCTCAAGGCAGAAATGGGGGGTGAAATCCCAGCCCCGCCGAAGTCAACGGCAAAAGTTCCATTGAGGCCAACAGGGCCAGGATTTCACTCGGTGTCTTTTCTGTGCCTTTCCAGCACTTTATAAATAATGCACCTGCAGGGCGCAGTGCCTGGTCCCTCCCGCCCCATTCTCCAGAGGCGCTCTCTTCAAAACCCGCCCGCCGCAGCCCCACACAAACAGTCCAGACATCAGGAGATTCCGTGCAGCTGGAGTGCAGGGGAAGGACAGAGGAGGCGAGGTCAGTCTTTACTGCAGGCCTTGCAGCCATCTTGGATGCCCCAGTTGATAGATTGCTACGGTGGGCTCGCTCAGCCTAGCGCTGACACTATCTGTGTTCACATCTCCTGGCGCGATGCTGTCTTCTCAGTCCCATTGCCCCACACCAGTTCCGGGAGCACAATGCCAGCTCCCCGGGGTCGGATGGCAGCACTGACTGCCCTAATGCCACAGGCTCAGCCTCTCGTGGCCTGGGAACATGGAACTGGCATCCAGCCCCCAGACAAGATATAGCAACTTGTGGTACCTGTCTCCCCTGCCTCACACCAGACACACTCAGCACAGCTCTCTTGCCCCATACCAGTATAAGGACAAAGCATTATCTTCCAGGGCAGGCTTCCTTCACCTCATATTGGCTACAGGGACTGGGCAGCATCTCCCCTCGCCCCGTCCCTACACCCATGGGCACGGAGAGTCAGCTCACCTTGCTTCCCAGAGGAATGGTGCACCAGTTCCCGCTCTGGGCACACTACACGGCCTGGGACATCTTCCGGGACTCTCTGGGGTGACAAAGGCTGGGGAGAGGGAATCCAGCCAGTGCTGTATTAACACAGCAAGTAGGTCACAGTGGCAGTGGACACCCCAAACTCTACACTTATAGGGCCAGGTAGTGGCATGTTGGGGGGCAGGGAAAGGTTCGGAGGTTTGAGCTTCCATTGTTGAGATGGAGGAACAGCTGCAGCCCTGGTGTAAGCAGATGCAGCTTCCCACTGACGTTAATGGGAGCTGCGTCTGCTTACGCCAGGACTGAATTTGGCCCTAGTCTGCCTCCAGTGAAAGACGCCCGATGGGTCCTGGGCAGGACACAGCAGCAGCTGCTGTGGCTGTACAACTAACTCTAGCCACCTGGGTTCCACTCCACACACATGGCCAAGCCTGTCCTCTCTGTTTCCTTCCACTCCGAGAAGGATCTGCTGGGATAAGGTGACTAGATACTCCTTTTCCTCGAGCCTCACTAACCTTCTGCCCCAGGGGCCTGGCATCAGCATCCACCATGGAGCTGTAGTCACAAGAAATACAAAAGCAAACACACGCGCTGGCTAAGTTCCCTGTTAAGCCCCTCGCCGGGGCTCAGAGCTGCGGCGGGGAGAGATGCCTCTCCTCCAGCATGGATCTGTCCTGGACTTGCCACTGCGTGGGAGAGGAGCCCCTCCCCTGGCCTGGCCCAGGCCCATCGGAGCTGCCGGGGAGAGGAGCCCCTCCCTTGGTACAACTCAGCCCCACCGGAGAGAGGCGCCTCTCCCCCGGCCCGAGCTGCTGCGGTGAGAGAGGGCTGCGGTGGGGTAGTCCTCACTCCCTGCCGCAGCCCCGGGACAGCCTGCACCCCCAAACCCCTCATCCCTAGCCCCACCCCAGAGCCTGCTCTCCCTGCACCCCAACCCTCTGCCCCAGCCCTGAGCCCCCTCCTGCACCCCGAACCCCTCATCCCCGACCCCACCCCAGAACCTGCACTCCTAGCCAGAGCCCTCATCCCCCCCCCACCTCAACCCTCTGCCCCAGCTCTGAGCCCCCTCCCACACTCCGAACCCCTCGGCCCCACCCCCACCACATGAATTTTGTTATGTGCACCCATATGAAGGTGATGTGTCGCACATCACCTCCATATTGGTGCACATAACAAAATTCATTCTGCACGTGGACATAAACAATTAGAGGGAACACTGGAAACTTGTCCTGCAAAGCACACAGAGCCAGAGAGCCCAGGGCACCGGAGCATTCAGCTTGTCCCGCCCCAGAGCCCCTGTCCCAGGGACACTACAATGGGATGATCTAGTAGTAAATGTGAAGTACATTGGCCAGGTATACCAATTATCTATACAATGGGCTTGCACCAATGGCTTGCTCCATAGTCCTGACCTATGCTGCTGGGCATGACCAAGAACCTAGAGAATATCCATAGCCCAGTGCCAAAGGCATGGCCAGAAGCCCATCACCAAGGCAAGAGCTCGGTGCGGTATCCACAACTGACTGCACGGAGCTGCTCTCCCAGGGGGAAGAGTCACCGCAAACCCGATGAACCAGAAAGAAGAGGGGTCAGTGCTCAACCATTACGAGGAAGACTCAGGCAAGAAAGAGGCGCTCAGAACCTTCCACGGCTGGGGCTGCAGAGCCAGACATTTGCCAGCTACCACTGAGCTGTTGCAAACCAAGAGCTTAGAGCATTTCAAAAAGAGAGTAAGTGGAAGATTAAGAAGCCACCTGCAATTGTACAAGCTGAAGACTCCGATCTCATAGGCTATGGCTATCAGACCCCCTACTTCAGGGCATGACCTGATCCCCAGGTGAGGTCAGGAAGAAATGTCCCCCTTTGCAAAGTACAGCACAACGAAGTGCACTGTGAAGGGTTCCTCTCTTTCTCTGAAGCACCCAGCAATGGCCACTCTTGAAGAGAGGATATTGGAGTCACTGGACTATCGGTCTGCTCCCCGAGGGCTGAGAGGGGACACCATACTGGCATCATCTTCATCCACAAAGACCCTATTGTCTCACCCTGGCTGCTCGTGCTGCCTCTTCACACGGACTGTCTCTTACAGGCTGCACACATAAGATGGCCTCAGTCACTCTGGTTTTACAGAGAAGGAGAAGGAGAAGGAGAAGGAGACCACAAGGGGCTGAGGGATGGCTCTGTGCTTTGAGCATGGGCCTATTAAACCCAGGGTTGTGAGTTCAATCCTTGACAGGGCCTTTAGGAATCTAGGGCAAAAATCAATCTAGGGATTGATCCTGCTTTGAGCAGGGGGTTGGACTAGATGACCTCCTAAGGTCCCTTCCAACCCTGATATTCTATGAGGTCCAAGATGCTGCAGGGCAGAATTTGACTACAGGAGACCACATGGCAAAGTCAATCTAAGCTCTCGCGTTCTCCTTTCCATTTGCTTCAACATGAACCAACATTTAAGCTTAAACATGCCAGGTGCTTCTGCCCAGAAGCCCCGTGAGAGCTGCCGAGCATACCAGAGTCACCAGTGCGCTCTACTGCGAACCCAGCCGAGTAGCGATAGACCCTGCACAACAGAGATTCTGCACCAGCCATCCTCTTGCCTCCTTACCACTGAGAACCTTTGCCCTACTCACGTGCCACAGACAAGGCCCCACGTACCAGCAGTCCCTCTGCCCAGCAGGAGGAGGAGGAGCCAGCCCAGCTGCAAGCCCTGGCTCAGCATCACCCCTGCCATGCAGCTCCGCAGGGTATCACAGTCTCCGAGAGAAGGATCCACACAAGGGCCACGGAAATGACCTGTCTGTCATACTAGGCCCATAACCGTAGCATCTTGGCTAAGGCGATGCTGAGCTGCATTCTCTCTCTCTCTCTGTGGGAGTTACCCCTTCAATGTCCCTCCGAGCCTCTTCTCACTCTGTCTCTGCGTCCCCGGTGCCGCAAGCTCTCTCCCCTCACTGACTTTGCTGTCTTCTGCGGTACGTTGATAGCTTTTATAGGGCTTTACTCGGCAACTATTTTTTTTAAACCCTTTCTTTGTGGCTGCCCCAAATCTCCCTGGATACGCGGCTGCAGCCCTCCCTTCTTCAAAGGTCTGCGTGGAGGGAGCTTTGCTCACACAGACAGGCAGCTGGTTTTAACCTGATCCTCTTCCCTGTGCCCCTCTCCCTGTACAGCAGAACCCACCAGGTCCTCTCCACTGCTTCCCTGACTCACTGAGACCAGGGCACTCCCTCAGCCATTCCTCTCCGCTCCCTGCGATTGCAGCACCCCTCTCCAAGCTGTCTCTGTCAGCCTCCTGCTGCCTCCTGCACCTGTTGCTCAGCGCACAGCACCCCTGGGCCTCCAGGATGCACCTGGCATTTCCCCATCTCCTGAGACTGACCCTCCTTCTCCAGACTGCTCTGCCACGCCCCCTGCTGCCACCCCCCCCCCAGACTGCCCTGCCCCGCCCCCTGTTGCCACGCCCCCTCCAGACTGCCCTACCCCCTCCAGACTGCCCTGCCACGCCCCCTGCTGCCACGCCCCCTCCGGACTGTGCTGTCCTGGCCCTGCTTTTATGCCCTCCCCAGGCTGCCCTGCCAGGCCTTGTGCTGCTGCTCTCTCCTCCTTTTTCTAGTGTGCAATCCTGGGGCAGAAGGGAAAGGAGCAGAAAGGACAGGGTCACAACCTGCCATTCTTCCTCCAACACCCAGCACTGCCACATGCCATGGAAGTTCCCCGACCAGTTCCCCATCTCAGGGGGGAAAAAACAAAACCAAACCCAACACTGATCCCAAATAAACACCTTGCAATATCTCACCCAGAGTCTCTTGTCCACTTGGCATCTTTATCCTCCAGAGGACGGAGAGGTCAGTGCCCTGCTGGCTGTGGATCCAGATGTTGATGTTCTCTCCTCTCCCCACTGCCCTGGGGCACTCTATGCCCACCGGCCCCACAGGCAAGATCACGCTGACAGCAGCTCTATGGAGCAGGGACCTCCCCCCAACCTGAGCCCTGACTGTCACCACGTAGATGCCAGGGAGGGCGTACGTATGCCGAGCTCTCGGGCTGCTGCTGGAGAACTGCTCCCCTCCGTCTCCGAAGTTCCAGGTGTACAAGGTCCCCGGCAGCAGGGTCTCAGCGGTGAATTCAATCACCTCATAGAGACTGTAATGGGGCCGAGCAGAGAGCGAGAGGCTCACCTGGCAGAGGGGAGAGAGAGAATCAGACGCAGAACTACATGGGTATTGATAACAGTCACATCTCAGATCCCCATCCCCCAGCATGCCATGGGAGGGCCCTTTTCCATCTCACTCCCACAGCCTCTCTGCCCCACACTGGACGGGGCCTGTCTCCAACCCTTCTGTCAGGTGGGGGCTCCATCCAACACCCTCAACCCCCATCTGGAGAGAATAGAATTTGTCATAAGCCCACATCCAGCAAGCACAGGCTCCAGCTAAAACCCTCTCCCAGTGCCTGCTGTCGCAGAGCAGCGGCCTGTCCCCACTGGCTGGGGAAGAGAAATACTTCACACACAGGGTCTGTCTACCCAACAAAAGCTGTACACGGGCTAGCTTGTGTAACAAAAGCAGAGAAGTCAGCACAGCTCAGGTCCAGCAGGACACACCCGGCACAGACCCTGGGTACGTCCTCAGCTCCCAAGCCCGCGCTGCACGATCTTCACTGCTATTGGTACCTGTGCCGGCTGGATTCAAGCTAGCTCAGGCAGACCAGCCGACGCAGAGCGTTTGCTATGCAGATATACCCTCGGACGAGACCCAGTCCTAACTCATGGTGCGTTACCTGGACAGGATACACGGCATGGACAACCGTTCTATTGCACACACGACTCCGGATTTCATTGGAGCACACTTTCCCACAGTCCACGGCCCCTTTGCTGCCTAGTGACCCACACAGGCAGCGGTCCTCCAAGTCCAGGCCATAATGGGTGTGCGCCTTTTGAGAGCAGAGCGCGTGGCAGGAGGCCTGACTCTGCGTGCCAGGGTGGAGGTAGGAGTAGAGCAGGACTGTCTCTCTCCTGGTCTCTGGGTCCTTCACACAGGAGATAAAATCAGCCGCTGAAAGGGAAACAGAGCTAGGTGAACCCTTGGCTGGTCTGTTATTAGCGAAGGTGTCGAGAGCTCAACATGGTGAGGAGCTTAGGTCACACGAAGAAATCTGAGGCCAAATGCAAACCCTACACAGAGGCACTAACCAAAACTGCAAAGGTGAGTAATTGCAAAGGCTTTGCTGGAAACTGACCCCTGGTTCTGCACTGCCTGGAACTTTGGATGCTTTACACCTGCTCAGAGTGGGGGGTAAATTGCTCCCACTTGGCAAATTTGGCTTTAGTGGCATTTTATACCTAGTATCCGCTCCCTCGGCACAGAAGTAAAGAGCACCACGAAGTGCCAGCACTGGTCAATCAGGTCTGCTGCCGTTCCCTTTTAACTCCAGATAGGCCCATTCCAAATCCCGCCCAACCCTGGACTCCAGGGGGGTGGATCCTGCGGGTCAGGGCCATCTCTGTTGCGAACCACTGAGTCCCTTCCTTTCAAACTTCCTCTACAAGTTCCCTTCTGGGTTGAAATTTCTCATGCTTCCTTTTACTCCAAAGGTGATTTTTCTTTTAAATTAAAGCTTCAGCAAAACCTGGTGAGCTATCCTTTAGTTTATATCACACTAGCCATGGACTTGCTGCCCTGGGAAAACCAGGGCCTTTGGCAGGTTTGGGAAAGTCAGCTCGCCTCTTAGGCATAACTCGGCAACTGCACGGGCCTTTGGTGTGTTATTCTCCTAATCCCCTATTGCTCGGAGGACTTTCCTTTTGACATTTGTAGACCCCTCAAAGGGTCAAATCCTGGTTCCATAGCAAAACTTCTGGTGATATAGGTGGAGCCAGGATGTCGCCCTATATTTATAATAAGCCACCCCTCGTCACACAACACTTTGCACATGGAGTTGGCTTCCAGCACCTAGGCTATCTGGGACCTTAGGTGACCTTCTGGGTCACCTCTTCTTTCTTTAACCCTGAAGCAGTTTTCTGGTCTGACCCAGCTTTCCTTGTGGATTCTCTCCCCTTCATCCACCCCTGTTACTCTTCTCCAGCTCCCCTCTTGGTCTGAATCAGTATCCGGTGTCTGTATCAGTCCACCAGGCCAGCTTGCCGAGCCACGCCCTAGCGTGCTTTGCTTTGCGGCAGAGTCTGGATAGCTGTGCTTGGCTGACGGAGGGGTGGTTGCTATGGGAAGGGGCATCCTGACCTCACATGTGGAAAACTCCCAGAGTCTTTCCAAAAGGGGAACAAAACAGAGACAGACGAAGCGTCCCTAGAGCTGGACTGATGAGAGCCAGAGAGGCCGCACGCGTTGGCAGCCTGTGAGTTACACAGCTCTCGGTTTTCTCAGGTGCAGTCAGAGTCCAGAGATACAAAGGAGGGGCTGGACGAAGGCAGCTCCCTCACTACCAGTGAGCACCAGAGGGGACAGTCAAAACATTGTGTTTATCTGAGGAATTCCGCCACCCCCCTAAATTCATAACACATGCTTGGGATGCTCCGTCAGGCTCGCATGGGCTGGGGGTGGGGGGCAGACACCTCGCAGATTTGTTCCGTGCTTGGAATTCCATCCCGCAGCTGAGATCTTCCCTCCCCCGCCAGCCCAGCCTCTCCATCAGCGCAGGGGGTGCCATGGTGGTGGTGGAGTCACTCACCACAGGTCAGAGCTGAGAAATCCGCCCCCACTAGCCCGATGCTGCTGGAGCCTGCTGGTTGGAAGCAATGGAGCGGCTCCGCATCGCTCACGAGCGGCCCCTTCTCTCGCACCCAGGCCCAGAGCCAGCGCAAGGAGCAGCTGCACACGAGGCTGTTAGAGACGAGCTTGCTGTGGGAGGAGAGCGGAGGAAAGGGAGGACAGTGAGAAGGGAGGTCGGGGACCTCTAAACACCTCCCCTGTTTGTGCAGAGAGCCCCACCCCCAAAAGGGGAGAAACGCTCATGATACCAAAATGGGGGGGGGGGTGAGGGAGGGGGTCAGCAGCATACAGGGATGGAGAGAGGAGGGACAGGGACAAATACACCCAAGGCAGGGTGACAGAAGAAACGGAGACAGGTAGAGAGAGGTCTGAGGGAAGGCACATAACCATACAGAGACTGCAGTCTGCCCAGGTGGTGGAAGGCTCCTTCCTCTATGGTGCGGATACAGTTGTAGCTCAAATCCCTGCCAAGGAGAGACCAGAGAGGAGACCCCGGTGAGGGAGGGGAGATAGCTCTGGGCCCAGATTCACCCTCAGGATGGAGCAGCTGGGGGATGGTGCTGGAAAGCTTGGGGCTAGCACGGAGCGTGCATTGGGCTGCTGCAGAGCTCAAGAGAAGCACAGCTCCTGTCTGCCGCCCCCACCGTAGCCAGCAAGCTTTATTAGGGGCTTCACCATGCCCAGCTGCAGATACTGGTAGCATCAGCCTCGTAGGCTGTCAAGCCTCTGGGCTGGGAACGTTGCCAGTGGGGAGTCAAACCTGCTGGGCCCTTTCTTGCCACCAAAATCAGACTGTGAACCAAGCGATGCAAGCTGCTGGGGAAGGGGTTGGGGCTCTGGCTAGGGAGTTACTTACAGCACCTGGAGGCTGGGGTATCCAGCCAGCTCCTCCGCTCGGACTTGGCTCAGGTGGTTGTGGGACAGGTCCCTGCATTGAAAGCAACGAGTTATTTGCACCCAGCATAGGCCCTCGCACTGCTCCTTAGCGACGCCTGGCTGTATGAAACATTCACAGGGAAACCCCGAACCACATGCCCCTCACCCAAGAGGCCGCACGCTCTAATAGATTAAGCACCAGACGGGGCATTGGGAGGCTGGGGGGGGGGGGGTCTGATCACTGCTCTGCCACTGACTTGCCATGAGGCCTTGGGCAGGTCATTTAATTTGACTGTGCCTCCGTTTTCTGACGGGGGATTGAGAAACCTGCCCTGGGGTCTCTGCAACCGCCACACGGAGACGAGGGGGCTGGGTCACCTGCTCTGGGTTCTCCAGGACCCTGAGCCTGCATTTTAATCAGATCCAGAAGCCACCCCATGAAGGGAACCTCGGGAATGTGCTTAACTATCCTCCCCGCATGTTTCCCTGGGAAGCCGCTGGCTAAATGCTTCTGCCGTGAGATCTCACGCTCTGCCAGGTTCCTCATCCATATGTTGGGCAGGGGCAGCAAGGGGTGGGGGTTGCTTATCGCGGCTTAGCTGGATGTTTTTAATAAAGTCAACATTCCTTTGCAGCAAACATCCACCCCCTACTGCCGGGAGACTCTTCCCTCAGAATCCACCAGGAGAACATGGGGGGTGCGGGGGAAACCATGGTTACATTGGGAGGAAATTTAACTAATTAAAGCGCCTCACCCTTCAAGTCATCAGGCCCCAGTCGCTGCCATAGGGCCCTCCAGGGTCTCTCTCTCTCTGTGGGGTCCCTGCAGTGGAACCAACCAGATTCCACTGGGAGGAGGCAGGGGTCTGGGCCAGCATGTTACTGGGCTTGTACTGGAGCATGCTAGGAGGATGCAGACCAGCAATATTCAGACCTGGGTCTCCAACAGGCCCTAGTCCGGTGGGGAGGAGGGAGATCTGAGCTGTTGGTTTGGCCCATTATAAGGAGGAGCCGTTTGCACAATCTGGCTTCAGACATCAAATCCCCCCACCCTGCATTTTGGGGGTGCTTGGATCTAGGGTTTTGGATGCCCCCCCTTGGTTATATGCTGCACTGGAGGGAGTTTTAATGGGAAACCCCTTGAGGCAGGAGGGGAGCTAACACGATACGGTCATTTGGTGAGGTAAGGCCACTCGACTGGGTGGAGAGGAACCCTCTGAAAGAACCATCTCCATGCCAGGATATTGCAGGCCTGCCCAGCCACCACCTGCAGGGTGACGGTAACCAGGGCTGCCCAGGCGACCAGCCCCAAGTCTACTGCAGCCAGTAGGGATACAAACAGCCTGTTCTGTTGTCCCAGGATACAGCTTTGTGCCTGCAAACTGTGGGTGATCAGGCCTCATTGCCATGGTGATTGATGGGAATGAGGAGATAAACATTGTTTTATGGGTTTCATCCTGCCACGCTGACAGAGCCTGAGGAGCCAATGAGTCTGGAGGGCCAGTAGCTGGAGCTCCTTAGAGACGCCTGCCACAGAACCATCTCTTCTGACAGGGCCCCCCAGAGGCCCATACCTTCTCCATGGTAGCCCTTTTCTAAACCAGCCCCTCCCTTCCCTTCGGCCACTGGAGGCAGGAAGTGCCAGACCCTGATAAGAAATATAGAAATGCTCCAGCCTGCTGTAGCACCTGTACACCAGGACATGTTAGGGAAGGCTCACAACCCCTCCTGGGGAAGTATATAACATTCAGAGAAACTGAGGCACGGAGCAGTTAAGTTACTTGCCTGAAGCGAGGCAGTGGCTGAGTCAAGAATAGAACCCAGCTCTCTTGTCCAGCAGTTTGGGGCTCAGACTAGGCTACACTCACTGCTTTAAATTAAGGACCATCCTTCCCCCAAAATTACCCTGCCTTTGAGGTTGGTTGGCCAGCCACCTAATATGCATCAATGGGGGCAGGGTCTCTTGGGGTGGGGAACTGACCGAGCCACTCGAGACGCTGACTTGGGCCAGTCTGCTGAAAAGCTCAATTGATCTGGAAAGCAGTGTCCTTGGCAAGGATGTTAACGAAAGCCGTGTGCCCAGCTAGCTTACTGCGGCAGCCCTTGTCCTCCAGAGAGAGGGCAACGAGAACTGTGATCGAAACCAACACGCTCGCCAACCTGCACAGCGTGTGGACGCCGGTCGTGCTGCTCGCTTTAAACTGGTATCATGAATGTGGGTGCAATGGCCTTGGGACGCTGCCGTCACTGTATCCTACTCTACAGCTCAGACGGGCACGGCGGCCATTAAAGAACAATCACTAAAGATTAACACCCTGTACTTAGATAGCATGTTCCTCCCAACAATCTCCATGTACTTTATAAAGGTGGGCGACACCTTATTACTCCTGTTTCACAGCTATGGGAGCTGAGGCATACAGGAGTTGTGATGGGCTCAAGGTCACTCTGAGGCAGTAGAAGGGATGGGTCTACAAACCAGGCTTCCTGAGTCCCAGTCCCATGCTCTAACCACTAGGCCCCAGTGCCTGGGAGGGCATCCCTGGGTCAAGGGCTGACATCCTGGTGCAGGCATGTGGGATTCTTTGGGCAATGCAGTAATTCCCTGGCCGCCTCTGAGAGGGTCTGAGAATGCAGCATCCGCCTGTGGAGCAGGTTCAGGAGAGGTGTCTAAAGCGCTGCTGTCTCCCTGAGATCCTGCAGGCCCTTTCCCCAGAGTTCAGAGGCCAAAGGGAGCCACATTCCTTGGCAGGCCCCCAGGATCAGCTGGGCAGAGCCCTGGGATTTCATTAACATTCCATCAAAGCAGCCTCCCCCGCCTCGTGGGGCCAGCACTGCAGAGCACCTGTAAACACACTGCAGCCCTCTCCCTGCGTGGGCGTTTCCTCCCCTCCCGAGAGCACAGGCTGGAGACACAAAAGCAGCACCCCTTCCAGGCAGGGACCCACGGCGGCGAGGTACTCACAGAACGGTCACTCTCCAGGAGCAGGGCTCTCCCGGAGGAACCTCTGCCAGCCCCGAGCGAGAGCAGTTCACTGCCCGGGAAGTGCAGACACAGCTGGCTAGGCACGGCGTGGCTTCATCCAGTGCTGGGCTCTGGCATCCGGCTCTGGCTGCTGTGGACATCTTCTTCCCACCTCCAAGCCCCTCCACTCCTGCCCCTTCTGAGGCCTGGGTCCTTGCCCCTTCCTTGGTGTAGGCTAAATCCCTGTCACTGCCTGTCCCTGAATCTGTCCTGCATCTTCCAGCGCCCCATTGTTTTGGAGGTGCTGCCTTCAGCCCCACCATTGCTGGTTTTACTGCTGGGGCCCCCTCAGGTTTGGACCCGGTGCTGAGGCTGCATAGCAACAGCGCCCCAAAGAGGAGAGCAGTGGAACTGCAGGCAGCCCCATGGGCAGACTGACTCATCTGCTTTGCCCAGGAAGGGCAGAGGGCTCTGGCCTCCATGACCAGCCCTGAGAGGCCAGTTGTTAAAGCAAAGCCGTTGATTCTCCACTTGCAAACAGGCCCATCAGTACAGCACTGGCATTAAAGTGACAGCACCAGCTAAACAAACCAACACTCTTCTGCTGCATTTACATTGCAGCCTGGAGCGCAGGAGTGAAACTGGCTAGAAAACGGAAGTGATACTGACTAGTTTGATTTTTCAGACTCTAGAGAAAAAGAAAAAAAAAGGGGGGGGGGTGTGAAATGCATGTTTCTCTCAGCCGTGGTAACCGGAGGTGATAGAGGTAACAAAGAAGGGGGAATTGGAGTTGATAAAAATATATATACGAATTTGTAGGCGGGCAGCACCGAGGTAGCTAGTGCATTACAGACCATTTTGGCACCTTGTATCGTGGTAGTGCCGAGTGATCCCAAGCAGGGATCAAGTCCCTTGCTGCCGGGTGATGTATGCTCACAAAAAGTCCCTTTCATAGAGAGTTAATCATTCAATAATAAGGCAAGACCCAGCAAACAGGCGGCGCGGAGACAATGGAGACAATTATGAGCAGTGTGAAATGCCTCAGTCAGAGAACACTTGCTGCCTGGCCATTGGCACTTCCTACATAAATCTCACTTCTCTGATCCATAAAGCAGCCCCCAGCCCCCAGCCGTCTCACCCCCGCAGAGATTTTTTTGTAGCAGCAGAGGCAGGCAGCGGCACCCGCCTCCTGTCACTGACACCTTGCTCCTTCCTGCAAGACACCTTGCAGTACGTCAGCTAGTGAGCTCGGAACACCCAGCAGAAAGAAACAAAACGGAACAGCGGTTGTCAAAACAAAGGCAGAGTGCGTCAACACAGATTATTTGCTATTGTGCTTGTTTGCTTACTCACTAATTTGCAAAACGCATCAATTCCCCAGGGATTTTCCCAGTCTAGTTCTGGTTACGAACTAGGGAGGTTTTGTTGCATATCCCCAACCCAGCTCGCCCTATCCTCAGTCTACCGCTCCTATGGCACCTGCCTGAAACCCTCCATCTCCTCCTGTGCTTCCTCCACCTGGGACACCCAGGACCGTTGTCAACCACCTCAAGATTCTCTCCACCTCGTAGCGCCTTCCCCTCACCTTCCCTGCTCCTGTCGTCCACACTTCCCCACTAGCATCGTCTCCATCCAGGTCCAGAGCACATCGGGCACTCACTGTAGAAGTTGCCATACACTGGAAAGAAGGCCTCAAAACAGTTAAAAAAACCAACCTGGTATCTCCTGGTTGACATGGGTCAAGGGAGCTGACCTGGTGGCTCTGGCATTTGCAGCTGGCCCTGGGAACAGTTTGTGACTCCTCAAGGTGGTGGTATTATTGCACCCTTTGTTTCCACCCTGGAACTCAGCAGCAATTCAGTCCAGTGTCTGGGGCCAAGAGTTCTCTAAACACACCCGCTGGCTGATTTCTCTCTCAATTCCGCCCCACCCCATGCACCGAGCAGGACCCCCCGAGAAACTCACATGTGCTTTGTCCACCAGCTCCTTCCTGCTACCTCACCAGCAATAGTTACGAGAGAAATCTTCCCTCTAAGCCTTCAGCTGTAGAGAGTAAATAAATAATTCCCCCAACGCTCAGTGAGCAGAAGAATGCCGAAGCTGGGAGGTGTGGAGAGAAGATCTGAATGGAGAGATTTGCTCCGTGTATGGAAATATGATCTATGAAATCTGAGGTCTTGAGCAACATCTACCTACCCTCAGCAGACTCTACTTCCACTGGTCACTAGCTCAGCAAAGTCAGAGCGTGTCATTTCCCAGGGGGGAGGGTATTGCCCTCTGCAGCCATGACCTGACTCCTTGAAAAGCTTCTACAAACAAAACAGGCTTTTCTCCCAGGGCTGCTGCTTATTTGTGGATGCCCCCAGTCATCCGTGCCTCTATTTCCGACCTAGCGGCTCCTTACTGATGTAACCCTTCTGCCCATCTAAGTTGGCAGCAACAAGGGCCGGGTTCTGTATCTAGGGGTTCCGTTCAATAACACAATGCAAAACCGGCTCGAGCCCCCACCCAGTGACCTGGGACAATTACATACCACCCCCCTGGGTACCTCTAAGAGGCAATACTTCCCCTCTCGCAAGCACGGAGTCTGAGTGTAGCAGAAAATGTTTAATAACATGAGGTAAACGACATCAGCATAAAATTGGAAAAACACCACAAACAGGATTCACAACACAAACCATGAGCAAAACCCACCCCAGCAAATTGGGCTGTGTCCTTTTCCCTTTGGTTCTTGAATCCAGCAACCCAAAAATCACCCAGAGTCCCCCAAGTCCAACAGCCCCAAAGTCTCTTGGGTCCAGCAACCACCCAAAGTCCCAAAAGTCCAACAACCCCCCAAAGTCTCTGTCCCTGATCAGTGCAGCCCCAGAGCAAAGGGGGGGGGGCGCACACAGGGTGTTAAGGGGCACCTTACGTGATCCGAGGCTGGCCAGCCGTCTGTTTCTCCGTGGGGGTTCCGCCGCAGCCTTTACCACGAGCCAGTCCACTTTCCTGCCATCCCACGAACTGCTCCGCTCTACAAGCTGCTCTGCTCCGCTCACCGACCTGTGAGCCGTTCCAGCCGTCCCCGCAAACAGCTCTGCTCGCCGTTCCTTGAGCCGCTCCAACCGGCCCCGCAAGGCTCCGCGCCGCTCGCTGCTCCTCCAGTCGTCCCCACAAATTGCTCCACCAGCTGCTGAGCAACATAGCTTCAGGCTCCCCCACTAGTTAACACAGCACTCAGTGATCTCAGCTCTTAATAACATCAGCTCTTTTGTGAAGGGGAGCCCCAGTGCTGGTGCACCATTGGCCCAAAGTGAATTCAGCTCAGCAGCCTGTAACTAGACTCCTAAGGGAATCAAAGTTAGCTCTGACATTCAACAGTGGAGAGAGAAGGCAGTGCAATTGGTGTTTGAAACCCTCAGAGGGGGCCCATACCATCAGGTACAAATACCTGTCCCCATCCTCTCTCAATTCACTGGGTTTTGTAACCCATGCCCCTTGACAAGCAACTGCTACTTAGGTAATGGTGACGGATTCACTCAGTCCTTCTGTCATACAACAGTTCCACTGGCCTTGATTCACAGAATCAGGGTAACAAAACTTTATTCTTCCTGCCCCAATAACAGAGAAACTGGGGATCCCACACCAGCCAAAGTAACCACTTTTGGTTGCTGTGGGCTCATGCTAGGCGTGTGGGTGTGCCTATGCAAACGAGATCCGCCCCTGGAGTTCTTTTCCACACTCGCCATAATTCACCACCAGATGTCAGGGTAGAGCTCATCCTGACTCTGCTTACACTGAGAATGACACTTGTTTAACCAGTGGGCCCTTGTTCTTGTCCATTGTGGCAGCAGTGGGCCTCGCCTCTGAGTCTTTTGGGATGCTGTTGCAAGCAGCCTCTGGGGACAGATAAAAGATCCAGGCTCAGGGGGAAATCATCATCCTTGGAGCTGGGCCGCACGGCCCTGGGGCATGGCTCTTGCCTGAGGTCCTGGGTTCAAATGTAAGTGGAACCCTCCATGAGGCAGCTAAAATTCCAGGCCTGGATCTGTGGGTGTGAGGGCAGGGGTATTGCAGCGGAGGAAAGGGCACACAGCCATGGACTGCAGGGCCTACCTCAGGAAGGTGTGGATGTCTGAGCCTGCTTCTCAGTTCACTTCATTAGAATTTACCGGCAGAATGAAGACCTGTGCGGCCCGGCTAATATTACAAGCCAACCCCACTTCTGGTCAATGCCGTGTTTGCAGGGTGCTCCAGATTTCTAAAGTGTTTCCATTATCTGTCTGGATTCCCCGAATGGCTCAGAGGGAGGCATGTATTCTGCCCTGCTTGTATCGTACACTTGCTCCTCTCCCCAGCCGCTCCCTAGAAGGTTACTGAAATAACCCTCCACTGGCATTCACACACCAGGAGTATTTCATTTCTCTGGCACTCAGCTAGGCTAAAGCTGTCAGGAAGCCTCAAATCAGAGCAGGTGAAGAATGGGAGGGCATGTCCATGGAATTTTTGCTCTGTTTTTCCATCAAATGTTAACGAACATGGACGTTCAAATGTCTCTGCCCCCTCCCCTTATACACAAGAGCCCTGGCAGTGAGTCCCACAGATTGACTGTGTGTTGGGTGAAGAAATGCTTCCTTTTAGTTTAAAACTGCTACCTATTGATTTCACTGGGTGACCCCTGGTTCATGCGTTACATGAAGGGGTAAATGACACTTCCTTATTCGCTGGTGTGTAGATAGCCCTCTCTCTAGCCTCTCCCCCTTCAGTCCTGGTCAATGGTAGCTGTCGGCCCCAGAGGTAGCTCCTCAAAAAAGGGCCAGTCATTTTAAGGCAGGAAAGGATCTTTGCCCAGGACTATAACTAGCTCTGATTGCACCTTAGTCTGTTTTCCCTTTTGGGACATTGCCAGCGTCAGTTAAGTGTTTGTAAAGCTCTGGCTAGAAATAACACCCTGCTTTAACTTCCTCTCTGACTGTTGGGTTTCCTTCACCTTAATAAGCTTTGTTCACCCACCCTCTTAAATGTAACCTGCACCTTTGAAAAATGTGCACCGCTGCTTTTGTAAGACTAGCTAAACCTGCAGTTCTGGGCCAAAAGCATGAACCAGAGATACTCACCCAACTTTCTCCTGAGTCCTCTGAAAGCTCCAGCTCCTGTAGCATGCCAGACTCACCTATCAAGTCATCTGCAGCTCATCTCCCCCAGCCCAGGATATTGCAAATTTACCAACCATGCAACAGTGGAGAATCTAACATGCAGGTGAGAGTCAAGCCATTTTTTCACCGTTAAGTTCCAACACCATCTTTAACACTGCACCCTCCAACACAATAGGTTATTTCATTAGCTGCTGTCCACTGGGCAATAGCATATTTATTCAAACACAGGGAATTTAGCTACTGGTGGCCCATACAACTGGTGTGTGAGGGAGGGGAAGATAGGGGCTCTCTACGCAATCTCATCAATGGGTCAGAAAGACAAGGGCCAAGACAGATGTCTTCAC